AAGGGATGTCAACCTCTCCGCATGCAATTAAAGCTTTCTAATTAGTTGTGACACCTAAAGTCATAAAAAAATAAGTTAAATTATTATTTTCTAATAATAGAATATTAATATTGAAGATTCCATTTATTTTCTTCTTTTTCCCCCAAATTTTCATTTTCACTGGCTCTTTTGTTGTTGTATTCTTTCTTACTCTACCCCATTTTGTTTGCTTTAACCATTACATAGTTATTTCCAGTTTAATAACATAGAGTTGTTTAAAATTATCCTGGTCATTGACTTGTTTTTTACTTACCTAGCTTCCCCATTTTAGAGTATATATGGTTATTAAAGCGGAAAAACTGCTTTTATTTTTTTAATTAAAAAAGTTTTGTTTTCTTTATTGATTTTAGAGAAAGAGTAAGTAAGAGAGAGAGAGAGAAAGGTAGAAATATCAATGAGAGAGAACATCAATTGGCCACCTCCTGCATGCTCCCCACTAGGTATTGGGCCCACAACCTGGGCATGTGTATTGAACAGGAATCAAACCTGCAACCTCTTGGTGCATGGGTCAACACTCAACCACTGAGCCACACTGGCCAGACAGAAAAACTGCCTTTACTTTACTACTAAATCATTTGAGTCTAGTCCATAGTAAGTACACAATGACTGTTGAATAATGAATTTGACAAAGTTTATTGAAAAACTACATATTGGAAATATTACTTGTGGATCTAAGTGGTTTAACTTGTGTATGTATTTTCTATGTATTTATAGCTATGTTTAAGAAAACACTATACTTACATTGAAAAAAGTATGATAAGCCATAACCATCTACTCAAAATTGTTTTAACAAAATATTAAATACAATGTTGTTTTGTAAATCAGAAAGAGTTTGTTATAATGTGCAGAAACGTTAGAAATTCTAGAAACATAAGCAGATGAAATGAGATCAATAGAGACATAAAACTAAAGTAACGACAAGCTAATAGATGTTCTCAAGAAGCCTATTGTGAAAATTAGAGTGGGTTTCACCCAAAGCACCTGTAGTTGTTACCTTTAGAAATCAGTTAGCAATAGTATCTGCTATAATATCTTAGTAAAACAAAAATTGTGCACAAATGGAAAGAAATAGAACAAAAGTGAGACGTGATTATAAAGATGTATTATATTTTATTCTGTAGTTTCAAATGTTCTTCTTTTATCACAATTTATTATTTAGAAATATACTTATTAAGTAATGTTATATTTTAATTATTTTAATGACATAAAGCAGAGAAAGGAACCCCTGAACATGGCCAATTCAACAATATCAATATTAAGCTATGTCTAACAGCCCATTCCATCATTATATGGTATACATGCTCCCAATAAATGCTATGAGAACACAGAAATTGAAGCCATTTGCCCTCTAACGTGCAACTCTTCAGCTGAAGTAGTAGTATCCTCATAAACTACGTCACTTTCTATGTCCTGATCAAAGAAGCTAAAGAAAAATTACGAAGGCAATGGGCCTTTTGCTGCAAGATAACAAGTGTAGAAAACTGCTAAATAAAATTACAGTTAACACTATATAAAATATGGATAGTTGACATTAAAAAAAATAGTTGTTTTTTTATTTAACTGTTAGATAAAACCAAAGTTAAGTAATATAGAATATTATAAACACTACATACAATTGTTAACACTACATAGAATGTAGATAATATAGAAAAAAAAGATTGTTCTTTATTACAAGAATCCATGAGAGATCAATCAAAAGTCAAATTTAATCTCTTTAAAAAAGTAAAGCAAATGATTTATGTGTCCTTGACTTTCAGCTACATTTAGCCAACAATAATAAAGCTTTGGTAATATCATTAGTAAATATAAAAAATAAATGTACATATTTTTAAGGATTTTTAAAAGATTAAACTTCTAATATACGAATTCCAATCTCTTTCTTATCGATTCTTTTTTTTTTATTATTTCTGATGAGTGCATAGTAAAAAAATGCAAAGTAAAAAATGTGTTTTCATTTTATTAGCATAGAATTTAAATGATTATGCACAGATTTATAATATAGATTTGGATATTAAAGAAAAACTCTGTTGAATAAACCAAAATGACTAGAGTAAACAATAGTTAATTCTTCCTTCCTTTAAAGTGACTTTGTTTGTCCTCCCAATAGCCTAATTGATTACCCTCAATTCAATTTTATTTCAAGCTTCAAAGCTTATTTAAATTCCACTCTAGTATTGATAAAGCAGGAAACTAAATTCTCCTGCCATTTACTTATCTGTTGAGCTTCAAAAACATACATACAATGAAAAATGCATGGATTTATTGGGTTCCTTTGTTAATACTATATCAATAATGATTCTAATTTACTTTTTGTTAGCCAGAACAGAAAGTTCTTGATTAGTCCAATGTACATAACAATGAAACTAAATATAATTCTTTGTTCTAAGCGGTGTTTGCATATAATTCCACAGAAATTAGAAGACTTAAATGCTGTTTAGAAAATGTACATCATTTTTAATTAATATTGTTCTGTTAAAACATTTTATTTATGCCAATCTTTTAACACATTAACACAGAAGAAAATCCTTGTATTTGCAACAACATAGATGAATCTGGAAGTGTTGTAATCCAGGAGATCGACCAAACTCAGACGCCGAGATGGGGTTTAACAAAAGGAGTTTATTGAGTTAAATCCGCAGGCACCTGCAGTATGTCCCACACAGGAGTAACTGTGGCCCCGGAGAGCTAAAATGGCTCCTTTTCATAGGATTTTGTAAGGGGGGTGCTATGTGTAAGCAAGCATGTTACAGAAGCGGAATTTAGCAGTTAGTTAATTACCTGTTACTCAGTTTCCCAGACATCTCAAAGGTCAAGATGTTTTCAATAGATTATCCCTGGCGCCGACCCCAGGATTACTCAAGGGTTAGTTATTACCCCAGGGTTAGCGACTACTTAGGGATTAGTTAGTGAAGAATGTTCTTCAGTAAATGAGTAAACTGACAACCCCTTTGGTTGTCCTGAAGGCCTCTGGGAGTTTGGGTCAATGGCACTGAGTTATAACATTCCCCACTTCTTCTGGTGAATTAATCAAATCCTTGATTTATATTAGTCATGGATTAGGGGTAAGCGTTGGTAATGTTGCTGTTGGGCTAGTACCATAAGCTTAATTGATTGGACCCGCTCCTTGACAAATGCAGTGATTCTGTTAAGGATGACAGGTCCGCAGGCTAAGGCTATGAACAAGAGGAGGAGCGGACCCACCAGAGCTGTGAGGAGGGTGGTCAGCCAGGGAGACCAATTGAACATACTCTCCTACCATGAGGTAGAGGTATGTTCTTCTCTCTCTCTATCTCGTAATCGCTTTTGCAGCTCTTGCATAGATTGTCTGATGATACCTGAGTGGTTAGCATAGAAACAACAGGTCTCTCCTAGGGCAGCACAGAAGCCTCCCTGTTTGAGGAAGAGCAGATCTAGACCTCTGCAATTTTGGAGGGCCACTTCGGGTAGGGAGTCAACCTGTTTTTCAAGGTATTTGACTTGGGTCTGGAGTAATTCAACATCGCGGGAAAACGTGGCTGACAGCTCACAAAGGGCAAGGTCATTCTTAATAAGGGCTGTCGCCCCTAGGGCAGTGGAGCCGGCAATACCCAGGGTAGCCAGTACAGGGATCAGAATGGGTACACGTTTCTGGAGTCTAGTATGATAGTCTGAGGCTAGAAAATGGGCTGCACCTGTGATCCCTGCATATAGGTATACCTGGGGAACTATATAGATAACAACACAAAGATCTGAATGATTCCCCGGGCTAATGCAATGGTGGATACCTGATAAGCATGCAAACCAAGTCCTGCTAGGTGCAATCAGAGTCCATGGGGTTGAGCCTTCGGCTGGCAGAGAGGTGTTGGTCAGGCAGTTGTCCTTGTATGGCGAAGCTTGGAGGTCAAGGTTTCCAAGGATGAAGCAGGTCCCCTGTCCTTAAAGATCTCCTAGGGTGAGCTTGCCGGCTCGGGCACAGTTGGCAAGGGTTCCTTCCCCAGGTGAGTCTGAGTCACTAAAAGTTTGGTTCATGGGGGCTAGAGTACCCGTGGCATTTGCCCCAATACCAACATAGTAGGGTGGTGCTGGATCTACACAGAGCCAGCAGTCTTCGGCGGTGTTAGGTTGAGAACTATTTAAGAGGAAGAAAACAGAATCTAACATGGTTAGAAGCGAGTTGCTAAAGGAATTGAGGGGGTGTGGCGTTGGCACCTGAGGGGCCCCAAAAGCTGGAGCTGTTGCCCTATTCCGGCTCTCTAGAGACTCTGTGGGTGTTACTGGATTGAGAATGTGGTTTGGTCCGATGGGAAGCTGTGGGGATAGACCCCCGGCAGGTTTAGGCGGGTCCCTCCGAGAAGGAACCCAGGGAAGTCGCTGGATGGTGAATAAAGTACCAATGTTGTATCCAGCAAGATATAGTCTCAATCCCCATGTTTTTCCAGTAAGCCAGGTTGAGTTTAGAGGCTGTTTTATAGTAATAGTGGTGGGGTTACAAGTTTGGTTCTTGCAAGTAGGGTCTATTCCATCTTGTCCCTTGTGGGTATGGGGTGTGGGGTCCCGCAGGAGAGTTATATCATCATCATTGCCGCCCCCTGGTGACCATCCAAGGGCTAGGGTTTCACAACCCCAGACCTTACAATAAAATTCTCCCGGTCCACCACATATAGTCCTCATATGCCTGGGGAATGGGTTCTCAGGACAACCATAATGCTGAGTGCTCCATAGGACATGGTTAAGGTGTCCCAGGTTACAGACTGAAGTTTTACTTGCTGAGCCAAAGCGAGTTATTGGTTGGGTTGTGTGACGGGAACCAAATTCTCCATGACAGAGGTTGTCATCGAAGAATTGTGAAAAGTCAGTCTTAAGGGTTACCTGGGAGGTTTGGAAGGTCTCATTGATGGCTAGCCTAGAGCCATCTCTAGTCTCGGTGAGGACCCAGGTATGTTTAGTTGGAATGCTGCAGAAGGTAGGGACCCACAACAAACTCAAGAGGATGCAGTAAACTTGAGTTTTAGAGGGTCTGTGGGATCCTTGAAAAGAGCCCATTTCTTTGGGATCTGATCAGAGTGTGCTTTCTTTACCTGGGTGTGGTGAATCCACGGTCTCTTATTAGACACCTTAAAGGCTGTGGGGGTTGTCAGAATTACCAAGTGGGGCCCATCCCAGGTAGGTTCGAGGGTTTCCTTGTTAAACTTCTTGATCCAAATCCAGTCACCAGGCTCAATGTCCAGTGGGGGTGGTTCCGCTTCAGTGGGTTGTTTTCTTTCCTTGGCTGAGAGGCGGGCTTCTCTTCTGATGACTTTGATGGCCTGCAAAGACTTGAGAAGCCCCTGTTTAGATAATTCGCCTATGTGGTCATAGTGAATCTTAGGGATAACAGGTGGTGGTCTCCCATAGAGGATTTCATAAGGGGTAAGGTTCTTGAGATATGGGGTGTATCGGGTGCACAACAGAGCAAGTGGCAAGAGGTTTACCCAATTATCACCGGTTTCAATCTTAAGTTTGGTAAGAGTCTCCTTAAGAGTTCTATTCATTCTCTCTACCTGACCTGAGCTTTGGGGTCTATAGGCACAATGTAATTTCCAGCCTATTCTGAGAGCTTCTGCTATTAATTTGGAAATTTTGGCTATGAAAGCCGGCCCATTGTCTGACCCCAGTACTAAGGGCAGGCCAAACCTAGGAATGATCCCAGTTAGGAGATGTTTGGCAACTACGTTAGCAGTCTCATGCCTTGTGGCAAAAGCCTCAGTCATCCTGAGTAGGTGTCAACAAAAACTAGTAAGTACTTAAATCCAAATTTGCTGGTTGAGATCTCAGTAAAATCAAGTTCCCAGTGCTCACCTGGTTCATGCCCTCTGATTCGGACCCCAAGTCCATGGGATCTGGGAGGCCCTGGATTTACCTGTGCACAGGCAGAACATCAGGTAACCTCCGAAGTGGCTATAGTCTTGAGATCTGGAATATAGAAGTGTCTGCTGACTAGAGAGACTAATTTTGATGTGCCTAGGTGAGTACTATAGTGGAGATCTCTAATGAGAGCAATTCCCAAGGCTTTGGGGAGAAGTAGTCTTCCATCGGGGAGCCGATGCCAGTTCCCCTTCTCTGTTGAACAATTTAACTTCCTTCCCAGGTTGAGCTCCTCTTCATTGTAGGATGGCGAGGAGGGCAATTCCCGAAGGGGAAGAGCAGGGAGTATTTCCATAGGTTTTACCTCAGTTAGGGCAATTTGTTTAGCAGTCCTGTCTGCTAGGTCATTTCCTTCTTTTGTCTGACTAGGCTTGGTTTCGTGCCCTCTGCAGTGAACAATGGCCACAGCCTTAGGTTGCCAGATGGCTGCTAAGAGATTGAGTATTTCTTCTCTATTTTTAATTTCTTTCCCAGCTGATGTGAGGAGCCCCCTTTCTCGGTATAGGGCTCCATGCACATGAGCAGTTGCAAAGGCATAGCGGCTGTCAGTGTAGATGTTGACCCTCTTGCCTTTTGCCCAGTTGAGTGCCTGTGTCAGGGCAATCAGTTCTGCTTTCTGTGCAGAAGTTCCGTGGGGCAAGGCCTGAGCCCAGTTGGTGACTACTGCTGCCCCGGCATACCGAGTTCCATCCTTGATGAAACTGCTGCCGTCAGTATAGAGGTCATAGTCAGAGTTGGCTATTTGCTCGTCTTTGCGGTCCGGTCTGGTTCCCTCTATGGAGTCTAGTAACGAGTGGCAATCGTGGAGCAGTTCTCCTTGATTCCCGTCGGGGAGTAAGGTAGCTGGGCTGAGGGCAGTAGACTTGGAGAAGGTAATCTGTGGTGGGTTCAATAATAGTACCTGATATTGAGTGAGGCGAGCGTTGGAAATCCATCTGTCAGGAGGATACCTGAGTAAGGCTTCAGTGGTGTGGCCTCCGATGATTTGGAGGTCCTGGCCTAAGGTCAGCTTCTGCGCCTCCTTGACAAGGAGAGCAGTTGCAGCTATTGCTCTCATGCAGGACAGCCAGCCTGCAGCAACAGGGTCAAGCTGTTTGGAGAGATAAGCAATTGGGCGTTTCCATGGTCCCAGAGTCTGGGTTAGGACTCCTTTTGCTATGCCTTTGCGTTCTGCAACAAAAAGCTGGAAAGGTTTGGTGGTATCTGGCAAGGCAAGGGCAGGGGCTGAGGCAAGCGCCTGTTTAAGTCTTTCAAAAGCCTCTTCTTCCCTTTCAGTCCAAGTTAAATCAGGTTCCTTTCCCCCCGTACATGAATAGAGGGGTCTTGCAATTTCTGCAAACCCTAGAATCCACAGTCTGCAATATCCAACTGTGCCTAGAAATTCTCGTATCTGCCTTTTGGTGGTTGGCTTTGGGATCCCAAGGATTGCTTGGATTCTTCCTGAGGATAAGGTGCGTTTCCCTTCCTCTAAATGGTAACCCAAGTAGGTGGCTTTCTTGACACAGATTTGGGCTTTTCTCATGGATACCCGGTACCCAAGTTTGCCTTACTCAATGAGAAGGGCTCGGGTGGCAGCAAGGCATTCATCGGAGGTCCGGGCAGCTAGGAGTAGGTCATCTACATATTGGAGCAGGGTTACCTGTGGGTGGCTGTCTCGGAAGTTGAGGAGGTCCCGGCTCAGGGCTTCATCAAAAATGGTGGGAGAGTTCTTGAAGCCCCGAGGGAGTCTGGTCCAGGTAAGCTGGCCTGAGAAACCCCCTCAGGGTCTGTCCATTCAAAGGCAAAGATGGGTTGGCTCTTCGCAGCAAGCGGCAGGGTGAAGAAGGCATCTTTGAGGTCCAGGACTGAGTAGTAAACCTTGTCTGGAGGTAAAAGACTCAGGAGGGTATATGGGTTAGGCACAGTAGGGTGGATAGACTCAACCCTTTTGTTTACCTCCCGCAAATCCTGAACTGGCCTATAATCTTCCGTTCCCGGTTTCTTCACGGGCAACAATGGGGTGTTCCAGGGGGACTGACATGGAATTAAAATGCCTGCATCTCTCAGCCTCTTAATATGTTTGGCAATCCCTTCCTTGGCCTTTTGGGGAATTGGGTATTGTCTTACTTGAATGAGAGTAGCAGTGCTGGCCAATTGCACAATGATAGGGGGCTGGTGAGAGGCTAGCCCCGGTGGGTTTGTTTCAGCCCAAACTTCAGGAATCTGTATGGCTAATTTAGTCAAGACATCCTGTGAGTTACTTTCCCCAGTGGGAGGTGGCATTTCCTCTTGAAGGAGATATTCCTCAGAAAGGGGTACTGTAACCATGATAGTGGAAGGTTGTTGGTTCCCTAAGCTTAGAGTTGTGCTATTGTCTTGAAAAGTTATAGATGCTTTCAGCTTTCGCAGCAGGTCTCTGCCAAGCAATGGGTAGGGGCAGTCGGGCATTACAAGGAAGGAGTGAGTAATAGTGCCCTTCCCGAGATCAGTGATTCTGGCTTTGGTCCATGGGTATGCTTTTGGCTTTCCTGTTGCCCCTATAATCGATGTCTTTTGGGAGGAGAGCTTTCCAGAGGCCTGCTGCAGGACCGAATAGGTGGCCCCCATGTCGACAAGGAAGTCAGTTTGTTTTCCCTCAACCATCAGGGTTAACATGGGTTCCTGGGGGCCTAAATTGATGGAACCCTGACCCCCCTAATCTTCCTCAGTCTCTAGGAGTAAGTGTGCAGGGGTTTCTTGTGCTTTTCTTCCCATTAGCTTGGGGCAATCTTTATTCCAGTGTCCCATAGTCTTGCAGAAGGCGCATTGATTTTTCTTAAGTTGGGGTCTATCTTTAGATGGTTCTTTATTCCCCTTATAGGTGGCTAGTGGTCCCTTGTTAGGGGTTGCCAGCAAGATTCGAGACAGTTGCCTAGTTTGCTCCTTAATGGGATCCTCCCAGTTCTGAAAAACTTTCTGAGCTATTTCAAGTAATTCACTTCTATTCTTTCCCTCAAAGCCTTCTAATTTCTGCAGTTTCTTTCTGATGTCTGGGGTTGACTGTGAGACGAAGGCCATGTTGACCATCCGTCTATTCCCATCTGCATCCGGGTCTAAGGGGATATAAGTTCTGTAGGCCTCTAATAATCTTTCTAAAAAGGCCGTGGGAGATTCGTCCTTCCCTTGCATAGTGGCTGCTACTTTTGCTAAATTGGTGGGTTTCTTAGCAGCGCCCCTTAGACCCCTGAGGAGGTTTTGGTGATAAGTGTGTAACCTCTGCATCCCCTCCCCAGTGTTTGGATCCCATTCTGGGGGTCGTTGAGGCAGTTCATCATCTAAGCCCTTGGGGCCAGCATCATCCCCGACCACAGCCTTAATTGCCTCAGCGCGTATCCTCTCCCTCTCCTCTGAGGTGAACAAAGTTTGTAAAATCTGTTGACAATCGTCCCAAGTGGGTTGGTGGGTCCGGAATACAGACTCCAATAAACTTATCAGAGCTTGTGGTTGCTCCGAGAAAGGGGGGTTTTGTTGTTTCCAATTATATAAATCGCTAGTTGAAAAAGGGACATAGATCATTCATGCCGGGCCCATAGAGCCGGGCGCAGCGGGCACCTCTCGTAATGGGAGCATCGGGACTGAGGTGTCCGGTTCCCAGGCTGGTTGATAAGGGGTGCCGTCCCGTGTATGTGAGGGACTCAGAAGTCTGGCGTTGTTGTCAGCCGGGCCTGGGGCTCTTGCCTGAGGCTCGCCTGAGGGTGCCCTCGCCTTCCCGCCCAAGGCGTTTCCTGCATAGGGTGGGGGTGTCATTACTTCCAGGAGCGATTCCTCAGGATCCCCTGGGAGGACCGGATATAACCGGGGTTTGGGTGCTTTCCCAGGGGACTCTGATTAGCTCTCCTTGGTTGCCCCCCATGGTCGCTCCTTTGGGGCTGCAACTATGATGGTATGGTTTCCTACCTTAGCTTTCATTCCCTTTTGGGGCTCCTCCCTTCCACATTTTGTTATATAGGGAGGCTTGTCTAATACTGTGTCAATCCAGACATCTATGTATACCCGTTGATCTGGGTGAGGGACCCTATAAACAACCGAACGCATGGCGAAGAGGAGGTTAGGGTCAAAACTCCCCTCCGAGGGCCCTTCCACCCCAAAGGTTGGCCACTCTAGTTCACATAGCATCCTCAGGAAGCCGGGGTCTGCTGGCTTCCCATAATTACAGGACCTTTTGAGAAAATCGGAAAAGTTAGAGAGCAGACATTCAAGTGGGGTCGGTGTCCTGGGTGGTCCTTGACCCATGGCGTCTCTCCTGAAAGTGAAACAGTTAGAGCAGAAAGAGAGGCTGAACATACAAGAACACGAAATCAGAAGACAAACAAGAACAATCACTGAGACTAGTCTCATACCCTCACGGAACACACACACCTTCAAAGTGAAGCACCTAGGCTTCCAAAATCAGAAGTCAGACTCTGATTAGAGGCAGACAGTGCGCGGCGTCCCGCCTGTACAGCCTCGCCAAATGCTCCGGAGCCAAAGACACAAAGAAACAAATGGATCGATCCACTTACCAAGACCACATGGCGCGAAGACCCTAAGCCGAATCTGGCCGCAGTCAGAAGATCAAATTTGTAGAGGCGAGGATGGAGGCGCCTCGCCTTGTGCCTGAGGAGGTCGACCCCTCTTAGAGGGGACCTCGAGGTGATCTCGCTGGGGCCTCCAAATATTGTAACCCAGGAGATCGACCAAACTCAGACGCCGAGATGGGGTTTAACAAAAGGAGTTTATTGAGCTAAGTCCGCAGGCACCTGCAGTATGTCCCACACAGGAGTAACTGTGGCCCCGGAGAGCTAAAATGGCTCCTTTTCATAGGATTTTGTAAGGGGGGTGCTATGTGTAAGCAAGCATGTTACAGAAGCGGAATTTAGCAGTTAGTTAATTACCTGTTACTCAGTTTCCCAGACATCTCAAAGGTCAAGATGTTTTCAATAGATTATCCCTGGCGCCGACCCCAGGATTACTCAAGGGTTAGTTATTACCCCGGGGTTAGCGATTACTTAGGGATTAGTTAGTGAAGAATGTTCTTCAGTAAATGAGTAAACTGACAACCCCTTTGGTTGTCGTGAAGGCCTCTGGGAGTTTGGGTCAATGGCACTGAGTTATAACAGAAGGCATTATGCTAAGTGGAATAAACTAGACAAAGACAAGTACTTCATGATCTCACTTATATGTAAAATCTGAAACATAAAAGTTTAAACTCAGAAACAGAAAGTAGAAAAGTGGTTGCCAGGGTCTGGCTGGCTGGTGGGAAAAACAGTGAGAGGTTATAAAAAGAAATAAACTTTCAATTATAAGATGAATAAGGTCTGAAGATCTAATGTATAACATGATAACACTGCATTGTGTAATTAAAATTTGCTAAAAGAATAGAACTTAAATGTTTTCACCAAAAAAAGGTAAATATGTGAGGTGATGGATGTGTTAATTAACTCAATGAGGGAAGAAAATCCTTTCACAATGTATAGGGATATCATTTCATCACATTGAATACCTTCACTACACCAGTTTTATTTGTTAATTAAGCCTCTGAAAATAAATACGTAAATATATAAATAACATGTTGTATACAACAATAACAGAACAGACTTGTTGGACATATTTTGACATCCACTATGGAATCACTGTAAGCCATAAGTTATGTCAGGTCACAATATGCCCAAGACTGAGGTAATGTGGTGTTAACTGAATGTCCTTGGGAGGGGCCCGGAATGCCCAAAATCACCAGTCTGGACATTCAGTAAAAAGCTCTATCTGGATACCAAAATGAGTGGGACTATACTTAGCCATTCAATGCTGGAGTTTGGTTGTACAATGTCTCACACTTGGAGCTCAACAGGACTTCTGTTTCACCTGACGCTTCGGGCCACTATAGCCACCTGGCTTGTGACTAAAGATCCAGCCTCCACTCACAAGCCAGCAGTGACCTGGACTTCTCACAATACACTTGCTCTGCTTGCTTCTGTCACTTTAGCTTCCCCTCTCCATGTGTAACCTGAACGTACAAATATTGGCTTATGGGAGAGATCTTCCCTAAAAAACCTGGCATTGTGGAAAGACACAAACATGTGTGAGTGGCTCCTTTCTAGGAAGCCTCCGTGCTCATAACACATGCATAAATACATACAACAGAAACACATTTTTTTCCCAGTCAGTGTGGCTCAGTGGATTGATGGATGTGCCATGGACTGAGTCTCTGGTTCAATTTCCAGTCAGAGCACATGCTGGGGTTCTGAGCTTGATCCCCAGTAGGGAGTGTGCAGGAGGCAGCAGATTGATGTTTCTCTCTCACATCAATGTTTCTCTCTCTCTCTCCCTCCCTCTCTCTAAAAAAAATCAATAAAAGCATTTAAAAATATATACATTTATATATGTATTTGGAGACCATATAACAATATTTAAGAACAGAATATCTAAAATACTTCAAAATATGACCAGAGTTAAGAGCAGAGTATCTAAAATAATACCATAAGCTATATTTAAAAGAGCTATAGGCACTCAAGTTGAATTACAGGCACCATGACTTTTGAATCCTGAATAGCTTGACCTCTTTATCCCTCAGTGTTTTGTTTGTTTATTTTTCAGATATGAACAGAGGATTGTAAAAATGCCCATATTATAGGATTATTTTGAGGAATTATGACTTAGTAGAAGTAAAGTGTCTAGAACAAATAATGACAAGTGGTACTGCTCAATAAATGTTAACTGTTTTTATATAAATATTCTCAATTACAGTGATAGAGGAAGTAAGCCACCATTTTAGAAAAACGAACACTCAGGGAATAACATAACCTTTTCTCTTCTGCTTCTGGAAGCTGCTTACCGCTTTCACGCCAAAGAATGACGCCCTGCCCAGTCCGCTACAAAGCTAGGCGTACCCTCCAACTCAGGGGCCCAGAATTTGGAGACTGCCTCCTCTGGGTCCGCATGCGTGAATAAAGGAACCTCTTTGCTTCCTCCGGTGTCCGTCAGAGTTTTTTCCATTACAACAGAAGAGATTTTTTAAAACACAAGTGAAATAGCTCTGACTTGACAAATGCATATGAGAGCCTAATGAAGGATTTGCAGCCAGGCATAAATACCCCATGACACGTCTTGAAATTTTACAAAAAAAAAAAAATCTTGTCCCTCTAGATTTGAAGTCTCTTGAGTTTCACATATCCTCTAATAACATCTGTTGGGTGAAACTGAGGAGCTAGACAGAGGCAGGTTACAAGAGAAGGAAAGGCTGAGACATGGGGGAAGTTTGCAATGACCTGGGGCTCAGCACACAGGCAGGCAACCCAGTACACAGCATACCTGTAGGTTTATTGGAACTCTACAGATCTCAAAATAAAATTAAAATTAACATGGGAGATAGTGCCTCTCAGGCCAGAAACTTCCAGCCCCATTGATAGAAATGCAACTTAGAAGCTCCCTGGAAGGTGCACAGGTCAATTACATAACAAAACCAGAAAGGCTGGTTTCAGGCAAGAGGGGAACAACTATTGATTGTGTAGTTCCTTTTTTGAGGTTTGCAAAGGAATTTTATTTACTGTTAAAGAATATAGTGCTGGTGATTCTGACCTATTCCAATTAATATACCTACTGGTTTCTGGGAGCAAGGCAAAAGGACTGCTGAATGATTGGATCTGGAGAAACCAAAAGCAAGCATAGGGTTGCTCCAAGGGTGTTTCCCCTCCTCCTCTCTAATAGTCTGGGAGAAGTTGAAATTATCATAAAAATGGAAGCTGTTGTAGCTCACTGTCCTTAGAATCCAACTTGTCTTTAAGCTGCCCTAATTAACAACCTCAGAGACAGCAAGATGAACAATGGGGAATGTTATAGAGGGCTTTAGCCCCATAAAAATTAACCAGAGTTTGACCTTCACTGGGAATTTGAAAAGCAACATCCTTCAGGAAAAGGGAGGACAGAAACGGCCCCAAGGCCAGAGTGTCCTGCATGCTCTGTAAAGAAACTGATAGGGAGAAACTGAAGCTCCCTTTACCCCATAAAACTGTAACTGTTCAACATGTGTGTATTGCACCTGACTGACCGCTGATATCCATTTCGAATTTGTTAGTTTCTAAAACTTGGATAATGGAATGAAAAGCAGGACAGATGTATGCTGACCCAGTTCACCCAGTTCCCTTTCGCCTCAGCTCCCTCCCACCTCCATTCCCTCCTGCTTATTGCTAACTGCCTCCGCTTCTGTACAAGCAGCTTGCTTGCTCTGCTAAACTCTTGAATGACCCCTGCCCTATATAAGCAACCCTCCCCCTGAGCTTGGGGCTGCAGTTCTCTGTGTAGGTTGGCTGCAGTCCCTGCGCAGGTAATAAAACATCCCCAAAAACTGAAAAATTGAGTCTGAGTGTGGTCGATCTCCTGGGTTACAACAGAAGCTACTAAGACCCCTATAGATGACCTAGGGCTGAACCCAGTCAGGTGGAAAATACAAGCTTTGAAAAGTATGAATGTTGCTAAGGCAGAATTCTTTGAAAGGACCAATCAGAGGCTAGCAAAGTATTTATCTACCCCTAGACAACAGAACCCCATGGCCAACCCACTTGGGTCCCCTCCCCGCTGCAGGGACTCTATTT